CTGAGCCACCTAGGCGCCCCGAATAGACTATTTTCAAAGCAAGTTGAAAGAAAAGCCAGAATACTTACAAAAAAACCCCCGACAGTATATGGAATTCTCAACGGCAAAACTAGAGATCATTACTCAATGGAATACCACACTCACAAATTCTGATGGAAAATAACCATCAATTTAGAATGTGTTACTCAACTGATAATGCCACACCATGACCTTGTGCTTCATGGAGATTTGGAGATGAGGATTTATATCCCATATTTTAAGAGTGATGGCAAAACAAAGATATTTCAGAATATTTACTTACAGTCCATTGAAAGACCTTCTAAAGGCTTCACATTAGATAAAAGATAGTGGAATTCAGAGAGAAAGAATGGGAAGCAGAAGTTTTAGTGAGTGCATTATTGGCACATATATGCATAAATCTGGGAATCATTCATGAGCTTGCGTAGTTTGGGATTATAGAAATAGAAGAACAGTAGAAGCTTAAATTAAGCCTTATGATGTCTGCAAGAAAAAAATACTGAAACATAAGGATGGAGAAATCGAATGTAGAATGTTGAAAAGTAAGATAGAATACAAATATTCTACCAAAAAAGCTTATCTAGTTACATAAGTATTAGATAAAGAAGAGAGAATGAAAGAAAGAGAATGAAAGTAACTATTGACATGGATAAAAAAGGATGTAAAGAAACAGTAAAAAGTTTTAAGAAACCTAGAGTTGGTTCTTCAAAAAACTAATGGAATAGAATAACCACTGTTTTCTTTGATCTAAAAAATAATCCTGTGGGTAAAAAATAATAGTATAGAAAGACTCAGTTTGTGTAGTATTATTTATGTACATTCAGAACACAATACTATGTTTTGCCCTTAGACCTATCAAGTGTTTGCCGTCTTTAAAATAAGCCTGAAGGTTACATTCCAAAATTGTTATTGCACACTAAAAATAAATATACTAACGGAACAAAAGAACAGAAAAGCTTAAAAAAACAAAAGCAAATTTGGTGGTCTTTATAATTGTATGAGCGTGAATCTTTTTTTTTTTTTTTTTTTTTTGCATATTAATACTTCAGTCTAACCGAAAAGGGCTTCACATGAGTGATCTTCATTAACCACATGAGAAAGGAAGCCTTCCAGGAAATACAGGGCACTTTCTTCTTAAATGAACATGTAACAGTAGTATGTGCTGTTAACACATAAATCACTCAGTAGTGATAAAACTCAAAATGATTATAAAACAAAAAGTTATGTTTTTGTGGTATTAGAAATATTTCTCAAAAGACACATTCAATAAATGACAACCTGCCTACCAAGTGGTAGAATTATAAATCCACTTAATTTACCTATAATGAAAGGCAAGCAAGACTTTTTCAGTACAATATTGTCCAAAGTTGGGTCATACAAAAGGATTTGAAATAACGAAAGAACAAATCCTGTGATTACAACTGCGGTTTGAAAATTGAAGGTTCTCCTACTAAATATGTTGCTGTCTTATGTGAGGGAAAAGGAGGCCTTTCTTTACTCCATTTGTTCTTGCACAAAATAGATCAGACCTATTTTAGTCCTCGGCCCCCATGTCATTTTTTTGAGTTGTGCTTTCTATAAACTCTTGTCATTAAGGCAAAACTAAACTCAATTAAAAGGGAAAAACTAAAACTAAAAAAAAGAAGAGAATCATTATACAGAATTCTACTGTTTCACTGTCTTGATATACGTGGAGTAACTAAAAGTTAGCATATGACCAAATGAAGAGGTGAGTCAACTAAGGAGATGAGATCTACAGGGAAAGCTTGTTTTCTTGTAGGCTGTGCATTCTAAAATTTTCTTGTTAGAGCTGTGACAGGAGGTGTTTTGTAGAAAAAAAAAAAAACTCCTGTATTGATTTGATTTATGTTCAAATAAAAATCAGCAGAGTTCTTTATTTTTAATGACTACTGAGCATTAATATCCTTAGGAATACCTTTACATACATAGCATAATAACATGTAATGAAATAATGATAATATGAAACATTTTGGGTATCATCTGCTGCTGGTTTTTCAAATCAAATGTCAACTTTAATTTGTTGTATTACTTGTACCTGGACTTGATGTGTATTCAGTTTCTCTTTGAGAATATAAATCCTTTATAAGCAGTTCTCTGGAAAGATAACACAAATGTAGTAAGAAATAACACTACTGTTACTAAACATACAAATACTGAAGGTAGTACTAAAAGTATCCTACATGAAAAGTAGATACTTGTATATCAATAATTTATATAGGAATTTTCATAGAACATGGTATAACAGTGATTCATATTTCTGCACTAAAAAAGAATGAACAGATGTTTGGATATACATAAAATTAGGAATGATAATTGTCCAAAAATATATTTCATATAGATGAATGTTTACATATTTAGTACATTTCTTGTATCTGAAAAGAGTAGATAACTTGTATACTATTTTTGAGAGGCTGTCAGTATTTTTTGAGGGAAACTCAATTAGTTGTGCTTATTAACTTTTGCTTTTATTAACTTTCATCATGATTGCGCTTACTTTTCTGTTCATGCCAGTAATTATTTCCAAAATAGTTATCAGGATCTCAGATAAATTTTTACTTAAAATTTTCTCTGCCCTCTGTGCTTCTCACCCCCAAACCTATATTGTCCTTTCTAGGGATATCATGAATAATAAAGTGTTTTACCAGCACCCTAATCTCATGAGGGCACTTGGGATGCATGAGACAGTGATGGAGGTCATGGTGAATGTCCTTGGAGGTGGAGAGTCCAAGGTAAAGGATAACCCTTGATTATTAAAATGCCAATGAATGTAACTCCTAGAGTACATACACTGCATATTCTTAATGAGGGTTTCTTAAATCCTCTTAGGAGGACTGTTTTTTAAAGAACACCTTTTGCAAAAACAAAACAAAACACAGCAAACCTTATAGATTGAGAATTAGATATGCTACTAGTTATTTTTTCCTTTGATATTGATAACAATTTCTCTCTTATGCTGTGTAATTTGCGGCCTCCTAAACTTTTCCTATTTAGTGGTTAGTTAGAAACTTTAAATGTTAATACTTTACTGTTTTTTAAATTTTTAATTATAAAGTAATGCCCATCACATTGAAAGTCCAAAACACAAACATGTTTTTCAGACCCAGACATTCCCCTTGATTTAGATGGCAGTTGGTTCTGCTAAATTGCTGATCCAGGCCAAAATTTGAAGATGATGTCCTGGAGTATTTGTTTTAAGACTATAAAGTGAATTTTTTAAGTGATTCAAAGTTAAGATGAAGTGAAACCTTTCAAACTTTCAAACCTTCAAGACCAAGTGAATAGAGTAATATAACAATTTCATATGAATCAGTATAATTTTATGATCTATGATTTATAAAATATATTGCACTATTTTTTGAAATTTTAAGATGTATTTTTCAAAATAGGGAACAGTTCATATTTCTCATGTTCAGTTCACCAGTTAGACAGACTCAAAGATATTTATAAAATATTCTGTTAAGGAGAGACTCCAGGGATTATCTGGGGTATACTAGAACAAGATTAGGTGCTTAAGGGAGATGTATTTGATGGGGTCTAGCATGCAGGCCTTCTGGTCAGGGTGTTCATCATAGCAGATGAATCATGTGCAAATTAGGGAAGGTGTGACTCCTAGAATATTAAAAACAACAACACTTATGATAGGAATGCCCTAATATGGTTTCAAGGAGGAAATAGGGTATTTTTCACAAAAGGTCTCATTGAACTTTTCCTCTCTTACCTAAATTAAGTATTATTATCCTTTTTATTCCACTTTTACAGAACTGATTCAATGAGACTAAATAGTCTCCTAAGGAAGCACAGCTCATAGTGTTAGTCAGGAATCACAACCGAGTCTGCCTGATTGCTAAATCAGGTTTATGCCACCTATAGATTTAGGGCTGTGGATTAGTTCCAGATCACCCCCTTGATGGTAATGAGGTTTCTAAATTAGTGTTGGCTTTGATTTTCAGTGGCTCGAGGAGTAGGTGAGTTGAAGTCTAGACAGTTTGAAGTCTTTAGATAAATCTGAAACTTGGCAGACATGGGCCCACATGGATTGACAATGTGATTGGACCTCAACTTCTGAACTCAATTTTCTGAAGACCATTTGCTCTCACAGCTAACTAAATGCTCTTTATGTAGGAAATCACTTTTCCCAAGATGGTGGCCAACTGTTGCCGTTTCCTTTGTTACTTCTGTCGTATAAGTAGGCAGAATCAAAAAGCTATGTTTGATCATCTCAGCTATTTATTGGAGAACAGCAGTGTTGGTCTTGGTAAGTAAATTATGGCTTTTATTTAATCTTTAAGATAAAAAGAATATGCATACTATGTTAAATTTTAAACTTTAATGCAAAGTAATTTTAGATTAATGCAGTATGTGTTGTATTTAGAAATGAAATTTTAAGGGACAGTGTGTTTTTATATGGAATTCGTAGTTGTAGCACAATCCAGGTTTTGTCTCATCTTCATTTGAATTAACAGCCTCACCAGCTATGAGAGGTTCAACACCACTGGATGTGGCAGCCGCCTCGGTGATGGATAATAATGAACTGGCCTTAGCTCTGCGTGAGCCAGATTTGGAAAAGGTAAGCAACATCCTCGCCCCTTGTGTTTGTGTGAGTTATGCTAGTTGTTTCTCAAGATTACTGAAGTATAACCATAACAGAGTTATAATCATATTGACACAATTATAATATATAGTATATTATAAACATGTTACATCTATTACATAGAACATATGATTGTAAATTACCAAGAACAAGAAAGTTGAGATCAAGTGTTTCCTCTGATCACATACATTTTTCTCTGGAAAGGGAAGTTTCTATCCTGTGGGCTTCTGTCCTTTCACGGTATTTGTTGTTACTTTTGCTTTAGTCATACAGTTTCAGTTATTTCAGAGGTTGTTTTAACATTTAAAAATACATTTTGTATCGTGTAGACATATATTCCAATGCAAGGCATCACTGACATACTAAGACCCTGTGCTCTAACTGAGCACTTGAGGCTGCATACATGTTTGCTGGAACATAGATAAATTTCCCCTGTGTTGTCATTGTGATTGCTTTCTAAGTGGTCTTCCTGATCCTTCCTGGCTCCCCTACTTAGCAGCCAGTATGAGCCTCTTAAAAAGAGCGGATTAATCCTGTGTCCACAACTCTTCCAGAGACTTCCCATCTCACTTCAAGTAAAAGCTAAAGGCATCATAATGGCTTCTAACCCATCTGATTTCACGTATCCCTCTTATTGCCTGCCGTTCTCCTGATCTTTTCTATTTGCTCCAACCACACTGGTCCCCTTGCTCTTGTGGGAACTTGCCAGGTATGCTCCTGCCTCAGGGACTTTTGCTTGCTCTTCCCTCCATCTGCAGTATTCTTCTGCCAGATGTCTTTATGGCTCATTTCCTGATGTCCTTCCAGTCATTGATCCAAGTCACCTTTTTGTTAGCTCTTCATGTCCCTGCCATTTAAAATTGAAACCTCTTCTCTATTTCCTGTCTTGTCTTCTTTGCTGCTTTATTTTCCAACAGTAGAAAAAATATATTTGTATATTATATACAGAAATACACATTTCCATGTTATTTATATAAAATATACATTTGAGTATTTTTAAAAATCTGCTCCCTATCATAACATAAGGCCAGTGAGTTCAGGGCATGTTTTTTTTCTGTTGTTCACTACTTTGTTCCAGTCTTTGAGAACAACACTGGCATTGGATAAATCATCATTGCACAGTTGTTGAATGCATGAAAAAGTGAACTCTTTCCCAAACACTTCTGACTTGCCAGGATAGGATCACAAAGCTTTGCATCTTCGACTAACCCTTAGGGGCATTTTCTCTCATATATATTTTAAAATCTTTTAATCTACACACTGAAATATGGCTGATATTTAAAAAGTTGATGATACCAAACATTTTGGAGGGTGTGGAGCAATGGAAACTTTCATCTATTGCTGTTGAGATGAAAAATGGTAGAGTCATTTTGCAAAGCGGGTTGGCAGTTTCTTAACAAATTTAACTTGAATCCCCCCCTGCCCACTCTCCCCCCGAGAGAGAGTGTGGTGGGGGAGGGGCAGAGGGAGAGGAGAGAGAGAATCTTAAGCAGACTCCATGCTCAGTGCAGAGCCTGATGCAGGCAGGGCTTGATCTCACAACCCTGGGATCATGACCTGAGCCAAGATTAAGAGTCGGACACTTAACCATAAGCTTAGCCACCCAGGCGCCCCTAACTTAATAAGTTTCTTAACATATATCTGTCATAAACATATACCTAGCTTTCCTACTTGTAGAAACTTACTCAGTTGAAATAGGAATGTGTGTACGTGAATGTTGGTAACAACGTTATTCATCTTAGCCAAAAACTGGGGACAGTTCAAATGTCTGTCAACTGATGAATGGATAAGGAAATGTGGACTATTTCCATGTGCTGTGGAATGCTGTTATTATGCAGTAAGAAGGAAGGAAGTACTGATATGTGCTACAATGTAAATGAATCTCAAAATCAGTATTCTGAGTGAAAGAAGCCAGGCATAAAAGGAAACATACTGGATGATTGCATATATAAATGTTTTAGAATACACAAGCTAGTGTTACAAAGAAGATTGTTAAGGCCTTCGCATGCAGGGAGGGATGGATGGGGCCTGAGGAGTGATGGAAATGTTCTGCATCTTGACTGGGGTATGCTTTTACAGAAGTATAAATCTCTCAAAGCTCACTGAATTTATATTTTAATTTTTTATTTCCTTTTTAGAGAGAGAGAGTGTTCATGTGCATGCACAAGCAGGGTGGGGAGGAGGGGCAGAGGGAGAGGGAGAGAGAGAAAATCTTAAGCAGGCTCCACACTCAGCGCAGAGCCCTTTGTGGGGCTCAGTCTCGTGACCCTGGGATCATGACCTGAGCCGAAATCAAGAGTCCGATGGTTAACCTAAGACTGAGCCACCCAGGTGCCTTGAATTTATACTTTAAATAGATGCGTTTATTGTACATAAATTATACTTAAAGTTGACACAAAATATTTTTAGCTGTGTTACTTATTTCTTTTTAAAGCTGCTTTAGCTTGAGCTAGGTGTAACTTGCTTGACAAGTTGCTTGTCTGACAATCTACCATTGATAATAACTTAGGGATTTCTTTTAAAACTGGATCAGTTATGAAATACTGTAAAGGATGAGCATTCATATAAAACAATAATTTAAAAGGCAAAGATAAACAAAAAACTTTATGTGTTAAATTCAATGATACTGAAAGATACTTAATACTATCACAAATTTTATAGACCATGAAATCATGGCACAGAATGATCCAGTAAGTAATGCAGGATGGATTTGAATCAAAGGATATTTGAATCTAAGCTTAGTTTTTTCTATTTCTCTATGTGTTTTCTCAAATATATACCCCCCTGCATTAATTTGATAATATCATTTTGGAAGTAAATCCCAAATGGAATATCACTGTATCTCAGATGGGTCTTTCAATACCTCAGATGGAATCTGGGTTTACACTGGGTCAGAGGTGTTCCGACATTTTTGAAGTTTATCAAATACCAGTGACGTTTATATTGTGTGTTTTGTTTTTGTTTTTATGTAAGCTCTACACCGAATATGGGGTTTGATCTCATGACCTTGAGATCAAGAGCCGTATGATTTCCTGATGGAGCCAGACAGGCACCCCAAATATCATGACATTTATAGATAAAAGTTTCAAATTAAATAATATGAAACTTAGGAATATTTTTCTTTCACAGAGTTGATTCATAAGTATTTTTATTACGATAGCACTTTGTTATGATTTGTAAATATTTCTTAACTCTAAGGTTTTACTGCAGGGAGTTCATGTGGATTCTCATGGGATTAAAAAGAACTTGCAGAACCACATGCATTTTAAACGAACCTTTGAGGATATCACTTATCATGTGTAGTGTTAGCATCTAATGACTCCTTACCCACAAGATAACGCTTTTGCTTATCATCTTTTTTGTAGGTAGTTCGATATTTGGCTGGTTGTGGACTGCAGAGCTGCCAGATGTTGGTGTCTAAGGGTTATCCGGACATTGGATGGAATCCAGTTGAAGGAGAGAGATACCTTGACTTTCTCAGATTTGCTGTCTTCTGTAATGGTAGGACTGATTGCTTGGGGTCTTTTCTGGTCATGATTAAAACTGCATAAAAATAGATATATCAAAAATGGTATATCCCAGCATTTTCATGAAGGAAGTAAATATTAGTAAAGAAATTGAATATTTTATAATCAGTACTTTCTTTCCACAGTAATAATTTAATTTCTAGTATTTCAATAGTGAATGCTTTGCCTTTATTATTAAATTAAAAATTTTAGGCAGTTACAAATTCTTACAGACTTTTATAATTGGGTTCTAATAATAGGTGGGCTTATGGCTTCATTTCCTTTAAAGAATTAACAAAAATGAATACTTTATGCCTCTATAATGCTTTACTTTGAAAATTTTAAGTATAAAAGAAGAAACTTACTATGTCTTGTGTACATAAAGCTAGTGATTTGAATTGAATTTTAGCTTTATTAGTAACTATGTTCTTTGGTTTTAGTTATTTTTCTTTAAATATAAATGAATTAGTATAACATTTATTTGCTCAGAACGTCCACATAACCAGTGTTTATTTACTCTTGTTCCTTGTTTGATTTTAGGGGAGAGCGTGGAAGAGAACGCTAACGTCGTGGTGAGGTTGCTCATCCGGAGGCCCGAGTGTTTCGGTCCTGCTTTGAGAGGTGAAGGTGGGAATGGTCTGCTCGCAGCCATGGAAGAAGCCATAAAAATAGCCGAGGATCCTTCTCGAGATGGTCCCTCACCAACTAGTGGGTCCAGTAAAACACTGTAAGTTTAATATACACACTTTTATTTAAGAGTAAATCATATTCCTTGACTTGAAATTTTATAAAACATGATTTGCATTCTGTCAATTGCAATATAATTTTCTGGTGCTCATGATTTCTGCCCTTGAAAATAAAATGAATTAGACCTGGAAGAATGGATGGAATTTGCTGTGGGAGTAGGTTGAATGGAAAAGAGAAAACTAAGGAAGATTGGGTGAATTTAGCAGAGAGAAGTTTAGGTTGTAGGAGGAGATGTATTTTGTGAATTTTTCCAGGAGGCTATGGCAAAGTGAGTTATTAGAAATGATGGCAGGTGAGCCTCTGAAATTGTAGTAGGGTTTAGTGGGAAGCTAGCTGGAATGAATTTTCAAGATAATAGTAAGAAAGTAAGACCTTAGCAAGAGAATGGGGGGCTTAACTAAACTAGTATGGTGTTAAAGTCCATAAAAGGGGATATTGTCATTCTGAGAAGTAAAATGCTTGGTTAAGGTATCATGGCAGATAGGGCAGGCAGTAACTACCTTACATTTGTCCATGGTATACATTACTAATACTTGATTCCAGCAGTAGACATAAGTCAATCCCGGCGTGTCACTTCTCTGTTTTTATCTGTGGAGGTAATGTCCTATTAATACCACTGGTAAAGACAGAATATAGGGCTTAGTGGAGGCAAATTTCCAAGCAGAGCAGTTCTGCAAACCGTCATTCTTCCATACATATACTGTGCTTACATGTTCTGTCCACGCCAAGACCAAGATGGTTTCAGATTGGGAGGTCCTCCAAGGCCTTCTTACATGTTTGTCAATTAGCCATAGAGGGACTAGGGGGCCCTCAGTTTCTCTAAGTAGTGGAAAATACATCAAGGGGTCTCTGGCCTGGTACCACAGCAGTGGGTGTGCACACGAGGGCCCTGGGAGCAGTGTTGCATGCCGGGATGATGTTTTCAACAAGGCCTCGCTGTCACCCTGCAGACTGCTGAGCCCAGCTGAACTACCAAGGGAGGAAAAATGATGGGATCTTCCAAGGCCATCTAGATTTGTCTCTTATCAGCAAGATAATGGAACCTTTATGTTTTCTCACAGAGGTGGGGAGGGAGACATGTTGGATTATTTGGGAGCAGGTGGGTGAGGTAGAGTAGATGGTAAAGAGATAGGTAAGTAAAAGATATCACATTTCTGAAGTACTTTCTCTGGGCAAAGCACTGTCCTGGGTGCCTTACCTGTGTTATCTTACAGGACAGATCTTTGTTACCCTTTCTCTAAGTGTATGCTATTTACAAAAGTAGTCTAAACTTATCAAGTCTTTTCATTAGTTATTTTCTTTGTTAAAACAAAGCTTGCCTGCCCCTAGAAATAAGCAGAATCCATCAAATTAGCAATTCCTCTTTTTTCCCTTTTGAAGGACTCTTATTATCAAATTTCCCACAAATGCGTTCTTGGTGTCTGGTCTTTAAAGTCATTTTCCTTTAAAAATGTCAAGGTGCAAATTAATCACACCCATGAAAAGTAGCAGAAGAGGCAGAATGAACTATCTTAGGGGTCCCTTTCCTCCAAGAAGTATGTAACAAATCTGAAATGTCACTTTATTATCCTGTTTGCTTTGCTCTCTGTTTCTTTTGAAAAAAATCTATGAAAGTGATACAGAAGAGGAGGAGGATGACACTATCCACATGGGGAACGCCATCATGACCTTTTATGCAGCTTTGATCGACCTCTTAGGACGCTGTGCTCCTGAAATGCACGTAAGTGCTTTGCCGACCGAGAGCGGCAGTCCTGGCTTATCCATCTATGTGAAGAAATCCATAGCTGGCGAAGATGATAACAGCATCCAAAACCAATAATCTCCACGCACCATTAAAAGTAATAGCTGTGGCCTAATTGCTGAGCAAGTGTTTATGTAGTTGGAAATGTCTTGGTTGTAAAAATTAGTAATGAGATTTCAGGACAAGTCATTAATAGAATAGCCACGTTGCTCGGGTATCTCTAAAACTCAGCACTTTAAGAACACATTTTTCCTATAAATTTCCTCTCCTCATTTAGTGCATGCAGGGAGCAACCCCTTCTGTCAAGAGTCATTTTCTTGGAGTACACCATTTCGTGTCATTGGTTGAGGGGCAGTGGGGGTGGGGGCAGTTACGATTCTGAAGCAGCTCTTCAGAATCGATGGGTTGGCATTTTCCACGTTTCGATCAAGAAGAAATTAAGTTTCATGGAACGGTACTTCCTTTTACTCTGTAATGCATTCGGATAATTTTTACTTTATTTTATCCTGATCTGTTTAATTCTATTATATTCATTTTAAAAATGCTAGTTAGGGCTCCTAAAATCGGCCTCGTGAGCTGGAAACGGGAAACAACAGGGAGATTGAAACACAGTGAGTGGTGCTGGGGTAGAAAGCAAATACGCTTCTAAATGGGTCTGAGTGTGAAGCCAAAGGGTCCTTTGCTTCCAGAGCACATCTTTCTCCCTGCCCTTACCATCTATGGAGGTTTTGTGTGTTTGTTTTTGTGTTGTGTTTTCTTTTCTTTTTTTGGGGGGGGGTGTCCCTTTCTCTCACAGCTGTAGGATAAAACCTCCATGTTTTCTTGATATAATCTTTCATTGTGAACAGGGAGGAATCACAGCATGGAGAAATGTCAGAATGTTAGCAAACCTAGAGCCTGATTTTTGTAAAAGCTTAGTAACTTGCCGCTAATGAGATTTTCATCCTGGGAAATGGGAGTAGATTATCAAAAATTTGTATGCTGGAGGTGATTGCAGACAAAAAAGTTTATGCTCACAGCATTCATTCTTTTTCCATTCAAGTGAGATCAAAAGAACCAAGAAATTAGCTAATAAATAGTTTTTTATTCTATCAGTGGGAGGAAAAAAACCAAGTGATTCAATAAGGGACTAACCGTGCACTTCTGTGTTTACTCATCTTCTGTAACTATTGGTTGAGGACCTCCTGTGTGTGAGAAATTATCCTTGTGTTTCTCACCTCATGGGGAAGGAAGCAGATGCCCACCTGGGCTCTGGAAGCCTGCAGTCTGCTCCACAGCCTGGCTGAGATTCTTGACGGGTCAGAGTCACAATCTTCACAGGTGCTTGGTTAGCCAGTGACGGTCTGAAAAACCTGTTATGGTTCCTATTCACCATCCTCCCCCCCACACACACATATACACCCTTGCTTGGGAGAAATCCATGTGAAATAGAGATGGATATACAATTACATTTTCAACCCCAAGCAAGAAAGAGGCTAAATCAGTCGTAAATATTACTATATATTCTGGGTCTAAAGATAATTTTTTTCTTTGTAATACATAAATCGACATATGCTGATGTCAGTAAAACTGGGACAAGTAAATATCTGTCTGAAATGTAAGCCTGAAAGAACCATTTCTGCGAGAGGTCTAACTTTATAGGTATCATGAACAGAAAAATATTTTAGACTTGGATTCCCATACTTGAGATTTTCTGGGTGGA